TTAAGTACAAAAATAAATAAATAAATTTGATTATTTATCACTTTAGACACTCCTGGTTCTCGTCGCCATTAACGAAGCAACGATGAGTTCATCTTCTTCACTAACGATTCTCAATCCTTTTCCTCCTAAATCCTCCAAGATTCATTCAAACACGTCGTTATCTCCGCCGTCTTACCGCCGTCTCGTCCGCCGTGGTCGATCCTTTCCGGGCGCTGCTGCTGCTTCCACCGATTTCGACTTCGCCTTGCAAGATGCCCTTGAATCTTCTGGAATCGATACCTCTCACGCTAGAGTACTCCTCCTCCTCCTTTTCTACTGTAAAGAGGAAACTATTGTATGCATTTCGGAATGTAGTTGGATAAATGCTAGAATTAGTTTAATCTAATGGATTTTGAGTAGTTTTCCATGGAAATTTCTTTTTAAAACTCAGTTGATTGCTTCTAATCAATGTTACATGAACTTTATTCATCCTCTATGTCATTGTTTTGGTTTTTTTTATCATCTGCCAAGAGTTGATAAAGTTATGGCTGACTCTCAATTTGATTAGGAATGGAAACTCTCGATTTGAATGTTATAGTTTTAATTCTTGTGGAGGATAGAGGTTTTGATTTAGGTCTTTATGCCCCACTTAGTCACACATATACGAGAACGAACAACATGATAGGTTAAGCTCAATGATGTTTGAATGATATATCAAGTTTGATATAGTTAGTTGTTTAAAGTTTATATCTAAAATGTTTTCTTCTGAATGATCTTTGAGCAGGAGGCCACGAAGGGTTTCGTTTCACAAATTAAAGAATTATCCAATATGGAGAGGGAAACAAGTATTAGTATAAATAGAGGCGTTGATCTCTGGAAAACTGCTCTTTACATAGCAGCGGAGGATGATTCTCTCGTTTCGCATTCTTCCGTTCCTTTGCCGGTGGATGCTTTTCTTGAAAGATTGGACGATCTTTCCATGGGCTACTGCTTTCACTATAATTTGTCATGCAGGTCGTAATGGGAGAATATTTTTGGAGAGCATAGAGAAATATTTGTACGTCAGAAAGGTGTTTGTAAGATTTTTTTATTTGCTCATAACTTAATGTCTTACCAAATGGTAAATGCCATTTTCAAGTCTATTGAGCATATAAAGTTGTTTATTTCTTAACTGTTCATGTGACCGTCTGTTTTTCTAACTGGTTAATCCAAACTTCTTCGCAGGGCTTTTGGAGATCTATGACCAAGAACCAAGCAGAGCCACGAGCCCTCTATCTTCACTCTGTATGAAGGACAGCCTTTCTATCTTATCATTTTTTATTTACTTCTGAATGACATACCCTTTTATGGGGAATTTTTTCTGTTAGTTAATCTTTACGGTTTGAGAAGATTTTGATGCATCGTTCAGGTTCTGCTTTAATGCTATCGCTCATACACAGTGAGATCCTGAAAATGTTTCAAATGTGGGGCCTTTTGGATTTTGATGTAGAGATTTTCTTTCCTCGTGATCATGATGGTCTTCCGAGAGCCTATGATAAGCAAAAGAGCAAAGATCTGATCAGCCCCACATATTGACAGTACAAATGTTATTGGAAGAGGTGATTTTTATACTCTTGCCCTTTGATTTCTTACATTTTTATACATTAAATCTTATCTAAGTGAAGTTAAAGAAAAACTTACACTTGATGCTTACAATAACTTATGACCATTTCTCTGTTTTTCGTTCTTTTTGCTTTTTTTAATTTACTCTCATGCTGGGACAAGTGGAACATGAGTTGAAAACAAGAAACTGATCACCTAAAATGACTGCTAATTGTTTGATTAATTATAACCTCTCTTTTGCTGTTCGTTTTCTCCTGTCTCATGAGAAGCTAATGATGATATTTTAGATTCCAACTACATTCAAGTGATGCCATAAAGGTTTTAAGTTTTGCCATGTTGCTTCGAGTTTTCATGTTCCATAAAATATCCGTGTCCAATACTTGTATCCACACATTTGCATATGGATATGATGATATGTTTCCCCAAATATTGTTTTTATCTGTACTTTTGAAGTCTTTGGTTGTATTTTCACATTCGATTTCTTGTAGTGCCTATCAGCTTGCATCCGCAAAGGCTGCTCAACATAGGCTAGAGTGGGATGTTTGGACCAGAGTACGTTTTGGGGATATGAGACGTGCTTTGTCTGGTAATATACATTAAAGCATGATTGTCTAGAGGTGGGAAAAGTTAACCTGATTTTGATCCGAAGGAAATGAGAGATTACAGCATTCTCCTCTACCATTGTGGATTGTATGATCAATCTCTGAAATACCTCAAGTTGTACCAAGACGCAAAGGTAAGTTTCAGAGTGTGATGTAAATATCCGTCTTTGATTCGAACTTTTACAGACTATGATAGAGAAGTTTTATAAACTATTGCAGAGCTCTTCCCCGCAAAGACGGTCCACAAACTCAATTAGCATCCTGGAAGAGGAGGCCGTTCAGAAATTACTCGTGCGTCTGAATCTCATTACAATGGAGAATGGTTGGTCCCAACGTCATGTCCGGAATTTTCTTGGCAACAGCTCCGAGCCATGGTAACGCATTAATACTTGCTTTTCCGTTTGTGTCCGAAAGTTTAACTTATATCTTGTACGAGTTGAATGAGGGACACTATGTTCACCAATCCAGAAAGGAGTGTGATAGATCTCTAAACCGATCCTATCACAAGGCTAAACTCAGGGATTTAAATAACGGCCGTAGTTATGTGACATTATCGACTTTCTCGGTCTTGGATAGTCACCGCAATTGACCACGATTTGTTACATCTATATGATGAATCTGGTATTACAGAATTAACATATGTATGCCATTGGAAAAAATTAGTTTGAGAGTATTGTATTACCTTATTTGTTTTTTTAGCAAGAATATAAAATTACAATATTTGGTTAGAGGAATATAAAGATTACTTGAATGCATATTTTTCTTAATTATCTTTGTGATATATGTTTTTTTATAAAAAAAAAGTTAAATTTTAATATTAAATTGTAAATATTTGAATGAAAATTTATAGAAATATTTTAATCATTACATTATTTGAGAAAAAAGCCTTTAATATATAATTAGTATATTAAACTTATATTTTTAAATAATTTTTATAAATATCATATTTATTTATGTAAAATATAAAATAATATGAAAATGAATAAATTTTCAATTTATAAGATCTACTTTTTAGTAACTTAAAGTAAGATATTATTTTAAATAATTACATTTTTACAATAATATTATTTTCTTCTCATAAAATTAAAAATGATTAATATATTGAATAATAAAAATAAAATAATTCTAAATAATCAAATTTATTAATATTTTACTAATTAAACTCTTAGTATATTATTATTATGTTTATAATTTTTCGTAAATTACAAAAAATAAGAATCGAGTATGATCACTATAAAAAGAATTTATTATAGGGGTGTTATTGTCCAAAGTTGTTGGAATTGTCTAATATCTAAGAATTTTGAGGTAATGACATCCCCACCATTTTAAATAATTTTTTTATTGAATCATTAGTTAACACACGATTAACGCTCCAAAATATAAGTTTTTTAACCTAAAATGGTCATTTTGATCTATTTTTTCATTTTGACCCTCAACATTTCTCTTTGGGACAAAAATAAATGAAAATCATTAGTTAACACATGATTAACGGTCCAAAATATGAGATTTTTTAACCTAAAATTAAATGATGAGGTCGAAAATGCCTCGAAAAAAAGAATAAGTAACAAAATGATTATTCTATCAAATGTTAGGAGCCTTTTTATTCTAAAATGAAACGTTGAGAGCAAAAAAGGCTAAAAAATGACCATTTTGATAAATGTTGGGGGCTAATTTTGATACTAATAAAAAAGGCTAATTTTATTTATTTATTTAAACATGCATTGTATTTTATCTTTATTTTTTTATTATTTTATTATTTATTTTTTTTTACTGCCGGAGGTCTTCCACGGAAGCTGCTCTCAACTTGGCGTTGGGGGACAGCCTACTACCCTACCTCCCCCTTACCTCATTGCATATGGGAATAGGGTTTTGTTGTTGTTGTTGTGATTTGTACCTATACTACATGAGATTTGAGGATAAAATCCCACATTCTTTTGTCTATTTGTTGTTTGTTTGTGTTTGCTTATCATTTTAGCGAACGACACGAACAACTACATTTTTTAACAAATGAACACGAACAATAAATTTGTTCATTTAGTACTTTGTGCTCGTCGATTAAAGTTAAAGGAATGAACATGAATATATACCCGTTCGTGTTTGTTTACAGACCTACTTAGTTTTCTCATCGGTTAATCTTTAAAATATTTATAATAATTATTCATATATAAAAAATATATTTTATAAATTTTAAAAATAATAAAAGGGAGTTCACTCCTTCAAAAATCTTAGCAAAAGCAAAAGTAAGAATAAAAGTGATTAATTACTTTACCCTTACATTTTAGGAAAGCACAATACTTCAATAAAGAAATTATTTTTTAATAATTTATCATATCAAGATTTTAATTTTTTATTTTAATTTTTGCATATATACCTTATTTTCCAGGAATTTTGGTAAGATAGCTTCCTCTTAATCTTGTCATTTTTCACTTAAATATTATAACCTTGTAATTTATTTTCTAAAATCATATAATTGTGATTATATTTATTACTATTTTTTTGTTAATTACTCATCAAGATATTCGTAATTATAATTTATATGTATAAAATTATGGAGAAGCCATTGAATTTTTTTAAAAGTGTTATGAATTCTAGCAAAAGGTTTTAGGGTTGTTCTTGCAAATAAGCAAAGCACAATGCTTTAACCAAAGAGAAGAGTGAATCTTTAGGATACTTTAGCTTTCAATTCAAGTCACTCTTGTTTGTACCTTACTTGCCAAGATTAATGTTAAAATACTTTTTTTTAAAGAAATTCCTATTTATTGTTTGAAAAACTAGTCATCATTCACTGCCATCTTATTCATTACTCAGCGAACACAAATGGAGATGCATCTTTTTCACGAGCATCCCTTGGTGTTTGTGGAAGATCAAAGCAATGAAGGTGAGAAAGCTTACTGCTCAGCCTGTGGGGATGTGATTTCAGATCCATGCTTTAGTTGTGCATTCTACAATTATCACCTTCATAACAACTGTGCCCTCGCACCCCATACAATTTCCAGTCACCCTCTCCATCCCCAGCACTCTGGCTTTTTCCTTCGAGAAAGGCCACGTCCTGGTAATCGGGTATATGGTTGTGCATTATGCAAGGAGAAACGCAACATGTTCTTTTATGAATGTAATGGTTGTTACTTTTCCCTTGACATCAAATGTGCTAATTTGTCTTCTTCATTTAGTAAGGTCAACCAAGAGCCCAAACATGACTTCCACCCACATCCATTGACCTTCATTCAAAGTCCCAAAGATAAACTCAAAAGCTTGTATTGCTCTTGCTGCCATGAACCCTTAGTTGGTCCATTATATAGTTGTGATTATTGTCCTCTCATCTTTCATAAGACATGCATTGATGGATCCAATAAATTTAAACACCCTTCCCATCGCATACACCCTCTTTTTCTCGAGTCTAAAGAGGGTTTTCTCTTTTGCAAACTATGCCGAAACGAACATTTTGGATTCTTTTATTGTTGTTCTCTTTGCGATTTTAAGATCAATATTTTTTGTGCTCGGCCTAAGCTCATTGTTGAAGATAAAAGCCGCCATCAGCACCCATTTACCTTATATTGGAGACAAGGCTCATTCATTTGTGATGCATGTGACACTGAGGGGAACTATATGTCTTATATATGTTCGACATGCAGCATAACAGTCCATAAAGATTGCATTTCACTCCCACGCATTATCAAATTTTCACGACATGATCACTGCCTTTTTCACAAATATTTTCTTGAAATTCAAGAGCTTACAAGAAAAGATTGTAAGATTTGTTTCAATGAAGTGAATCTTGAGCGTGGGAGTTACTCTTGTATGAAGTCCGGTTGCAATTACATTGTTCACGTGAATTGTGCCTTGGAGGATGAAAGATTTTACGTGGTGGTTGAGCGAGAAAGCCAATGCGAGGAGCTCTATGGAAGTTCAGCTGAGTCTACGCAGTCTTCCATCACTCGCGTTGTTGAGGTGAGTGAAGATGGGAAGCCACAAAGATTGAACATTTCAGCCATGAAGGTCATTGCTTGGTGTTAGCAGACAGATGGAGGAGGAAACTGATAGAAGATGTGATGGGTGCATGCTACCTGTCTCAACTCTGTTTTATTATTGCTCTGAATCAGAATGCCATTTCTATCTCCACAAACACTGTGCTGAGCTGCCAAGAGTAAAGCGTCATTGGTTTCGTCAATCTCCTGCCAATCTCGACTCCAGAAGCTTCACGTACTGTGACTTGTGCCTTCGATATTGTAGCGGTTTCTTCTACGAAATTAGAGGACTGGACGTTTGCTTAAGGTGTGCTGAAGTACGTGACGTGATTGAATTTCAAGGACACGAGCACTTGCTGTTTTATGATTTCAAATGCAGGGAGCGATGCAATGGTTGTGGCGCTGACCCAGGTCCATATGGTGCATTCAGATGTGGAAAGTGCAGTTTTACTTTGGATTTCAAATGCTTATCATTACCACAATCAGTTGTTCACAAAATTGATCAACATCAGCTAAACCTCACCTATCACGATGATAATGATTATTCAAAGCATCTTCATTGTGATATATGTGAAGTAAAAAGAGACCGGAGCCTCTGGTATTATTGTTGTTCGATCTGTGATACCTCTGCTCATCCCGATTGTATTCTTGGAGAATTTCCGTTTCTCAAGTATGGGATCACATTGTCTCCTCGTTATTGGCACACACATCGTCATGATGTTCAGTTTCATAGGAAGGCTGAGGGCTACCCTAACTGCTTGTTTTGCGGTCAGCGTTGCCGAAGAGAAATTGTCAAGTGTGCGGAGTCTACGTGCAACTATATTGCTCACTTCGAATGTTGGTGGCATAGACTCTAAAATGTTGGGAGCGTAAGTTGTTCAGGTAATCATAGAGCCATTGTTATGGTTGATTGCTGAGATGGCGTTATCTTATTTGCATCCATTGACATTAACTTCAATGGTGTTTATGATTGTAGATGTGTCAAAGGATTTCGCATTGGAAAACTTTGAGTGAGCTTTATCTACGAGTGTTATTAGTGTGTGATTAATGGATTTGTGTGATTATGTTTGAATGTAATGATTCCCAGTGTTATTATTGTGTGATTATGTTTCAATGTAATGATTCCCAATGTTATTATTGTGTGATTATGTTTGAATGTCAATTTAAGAATATTTCTTACACAGTTTTTATTACACTTTCAACCAACAAAGTAATTTATAAATGAATGTTAATGATGGGCACAACATACTAAAGGGTAAATTACACATTTAGTACTATACTAAAGGATAAATTACACATTTAGTACTTAAACTATCAATTTTAGTTTGTTTTAGGATATAAACTTATTTTTTTAAAATTATACCTAACGTTTAATTTTTGTTTCATTTTAGTATCCCACTGTTAAAAACTTAACTCGTTTAGTACCCAAACTATCAAATTTACTCCGTTTTAGTACCTAAACTATTAATTTTTTTTTCAAAAGTTAACGTTAAATTTTAAATGTGATATTAAAATGAAACAAAAACCTAAACTTTAGGTATGGTTTCAAGAAATTAAAATTTTAGGTACTTAAAAAAACTAAAATTGATCTTTTAAATACTAAACGTGTAATCTACACATATTTAAAATATATGGATCAAATAATAAACATATATGTATATATCTATAACTCGAATAGAAAGTAGGGTTGAGCAAAACTTGACTCGACTCAAAAAATCAAATTTCTTTTTTTAATTTTGAGTTATTCAAGTCAACTCGAATTATCAATTCGGTTTTCGAGTTCAAGTTGATTTGAAATTTTGAAATTCCGATTTATTCAAAAACTTGAATTAGTATTTTGACTGTTTTACGATTTAGTCCTTGATATCATTATTCATTCAATTCCTCATTCATTTTAAGTTCATTTTTTGTCAAATTTGAACCACGTGCTCCTAAATCATCTCATAATACATATGCATTTTCAATGTTTTTCTTTAAAAATTGTACAGATACCATGTGATAACGTTGTATCATGACACCATGTATTGTAAATAAAAAAAATCATTAATACTGAACAATCAAATAATCAAAATAATACTTAATTAGCATTTTTAATTGAAAACAATTGAATTTTCTAAACTAATTTGAAGACTTATTGTACCTTGTGGCTTCTACCTTAGAAAAAACTCATAATAAGGTGGGTAATATTTTTAATTTTAATGCTAATGGGAAGAATCTTGTAAAGCAAAATTTCCATTCAAAAGGAAATGAATATTGTACTTTGAATTGAACTTAATTTCCAATAGATTCACTTTATTCTTTTCTTTTTCGATTAAACTTAGGGTAAATTACAAATTTGATATCTAAATTTTACTGTCTCTCTTATTTCACTTATTGTACTTTAATTTATTTTTAATTTCTTCACTGAACTTAATATATTGGGTTTCTTTGGCCACTTACTCACTCAGTCATTTTATTACTAACGACGTTATAAATAGGTTTTTATGTAGATACAAAACGATGTCATTTTTGTGAAAATTTTATTTTCTTAAAAAAGTATCGTTTTGACGCTGTTAACTGTTTAATGATGGATGACTAAAAAATTCAATATATTAAGTTTAGTGAAAAATTAAAACTTTTAAAATTCAGTGAGTAAAATAAACGATAGTATGAAATTTGTAAGTTATCCTCAAAGTTAAACCCTACCATTGACATTGACTAGCTCCTCCATTAATTATAAATTTAAAACCCAAGTTTCAGGCACAGAGACTTCAATCAATCCCACCCTTTACTGCTGTAAGTTTCTCTCTCTAAGCAGCATATGGTGTAATTAAAAACTTGGGGTTTTTTTTTAAGTTTTCCCCCCATGTTTTATGGCTTATGCCATGCAAATGTCATTAAAGTATGAGCATGGGGTTTTCGAGCTCATAAGCTTTAAAATACTGCATATTCACTTCCCAAGTTGTTATCTTAAATCTGGGCTTTTCTTATTTACCCTGTTTGTGTGTTGAAAATCATTGCCTTGTTGTCAAAGTTTGACTTTTTCTCTATTTTCAATCAGAATTCTTGAAAATTTCATTTTTTTAATCGTTTGAATCGTGCTTAGTAGGCCCTTTAAATTGTAATCACTAGTGGCAAGCCTTTGTCTATTTTTTATTCACTTGTTTTCTGACAAAGTTGCCTGTAAGTGGGCTCTTTCAGCTCAATTTTGCCTGTTGTGTCCTATTTTTGACTTTCTGGTTTGGTTCTTGTTTGATCCTGGTATGTCTCCGACGGTTGCTTGATCTCATGTTTCGATTTCTTTTTCAGGTTCGATCCTTGTAGAAACAGTGCTTAATTTGCCAATTGCATTGGTCTTTTTTGACTGATTTTGATGAATTTGAATGATTTTTGTTTGTTTGTATGGAAATAAGGATCCCCTTTTGTTGTTTTTCGATTTACATTTCGACTAGTCCTGAATTCGATCTTGAATTTTGTTATGCCTGTGAGCCTTTGATTCAGTTTTTCATCTCAGTAATTGATGTCAAAGTAGTAGTTCATATTCTTATTGATTGAAACTTCTTGCTTGATTTTGATTTCTGGTGCATTAGTTATCGGGTTTTCTTTCGAGTGTGAGTACATTTTGTCTCTGTAAGTTTTTCAGCTTTTTATCTTATGATTCGATTTGTTTTTCCGATTAAATTCCGTTTCTGACGTAATTTCTATTGCATTGTATCCGAGATATTTTGGGGCGTCGAATTTATGTTCGAGAGCGATCGAAAGGAGTCTAAATGGTCGATCGGTGTTTGATCGGTGATAGATATTATTTTAAATAATCATATTTTTACAATAATATTATTTTTTCACCTCATAAAATCATAAATAATTAATATATTGAATATTAAAAATATAAAATAATTTTAAATACTCAAACTTATTAATATTTTACTAAATTAAACTCTTTGTATGTTATTATCATGTTTATAATTTTGAGTAAAGTATAAAATATAAGAATAAAAAATGATCATTATAAAAAGAATTCATTAGTTTAAGGGTATTATTGTTCAAAGTGGTGAGAATTATTGTCATGGTGGAAGGAGAAGGGGAGAGAACGCGAGGAAGAATTGGGGGAAGAATTGGGGGAAGAATTGCGAATGTTAGGGATTGAGCAAGAGAAATTAAGGATTAAAGCACGTGAGAAAGGGGCTAAGGATTTACCTGAAGTGGAGCAGGCTGATTCATATCAGATGATGGAGCCGACCCAAGAAGAATGAAGACAGCCCAAGTCAGCTAGTCCAGTATCTGCAGAAGAAGACAAAGCATTAGGGGTTGTTATATTTTGTTAGAAAGGACAGCCAGCTGGCAATCCTTCTGTTAGCATTGTAACTAAATAAATTGGCTGAGTGAATATTTTCCGGAATGTCATGAATGAACAATCATTTTCTTCTCTGAATTCTCTCTAATTTCTCTATTCCTATTACCTATTTCTCACTTTCTCTTCTAAATCATCTAAAACCATAACAATTGGTATCGAGAGCCTCGATTCTGGCAAGTAAATCAGGAGCATGACAAAGAAAAATCAGAGTATGGAAGCTGATTTATCTGGGTTGCAGAAGCAGATGGAGGAACTAACAGCCTTGGTGAAACAAGGCCGCGATGAGACTAATCCACCGAAATGGTGGGAGACTCAGGAAAACAGGATTGCTGCACTAGAAGCAAGAATGTCCACTAATCAAGGTTATGTGGAGGAACTGTTGAAGATTTTAACGGGCAGAAATGGTGAGCAAGAGCAGTCTTCAGGTGATCAGGTAAACTCTCCTAATAACTCTAAAGATGGAGAAAAAAATCCTGTTTTGATCACTGTAGTGAAGGATAAATCAAGATTCACCTATAAAACTGATGAACCATGGATATTGAAAGATAAGCCTGATGCTTGTTTAGCCCTTAAGAACGATTCTAGGCATGAAAATCAAATGGGTGAAAACAGTAACAGTAGACCTATTATGCTGGGATGGGAAGCTGAAAACAGGGGACCAGGGGGTTCTTTGTGGCATAGACCTAAAGTTGAGCTGCCATTTTTTGAAGGGATAAATCCTAGGGGGTGGCTTCAGAAGTGTTTGAAGTATTTTTCTTTATGCAATGTTCATAGGGATCAAAGGGTGGAAGTGGCTACTATGTATCTTCAAGGAAAAGCAGAAATATGGTTTGATGGCTATATTATGCAGAAGCATCATGTAACTTGGCATGAGTTTGAAGCTGACTTGTGTCATAGATTTAGTGATAGGTCTTTTTCTGACATTGTGGAGGAATTCACTAAGCTTACTCAGAAAGGATCTGTTGAAGACTATCAAGAAAGGTTTGAGGAGCTACAACCACACATGTTATTACAGAATCCTACTTTGAGTGAGGATTTCTTTGTGTCACTTTTTATAAGTGGACTTAGGGAAGACATCAAACATAGAGTAAAAGCTTTAGATCCTAAAAATTTGTTTGAGGCATGCAAACAAGCTAAGCTCTATGAGTTATCAGTGGAGTTTGAAAACAGAAGGTTGAGACCTTCCTTTAAGGTCCCACCCTACCCAAACCCCATTACTAATTCCAAGACAAATTCAATGCCATTACCTATTAAATACACACCAATTTCTAATCCTAAACAGAATCTCATTGATTACAGAAGGCAAAATAACCTTTGTTTTAAGTGTGGTGACAAATTTCAGCCTGGCCATCAGTGTAAGACAAGAAATTTGAATATGATTATTGAAGAGGAGAATATTATTCCTACAGATTCTGTTCCTACTGACTCAGAACAGCAGACAATGCAAGAAGAGGAAAGTTTAGAAATATCAATGAATGCAATTACTGGTTGTATTAGCCATAATACATTGAGAATTCAAGGAACAATTCAGGGCAGACCTTTGAACATTCTGATTGACAGTGGGAGTACACACAGTTTTTTGACACCTGAATGGGCTGATGCTGGAATTCAAGTTCTAACTCCCTACCCTTTAGCTATCACAGTAGCTAATGGCCAACAGCTCTATAGTTCAGCTAGATGCAACAAAGTGCAGTGGCAGATGCAAGGACACTCATTCATACATGACTTTAGACTCCTTAAATTAGGAGGAAGTGATATGGTTTTAGGGGTGGATTGGATGAGATTATATAGTCCAATTTTGATGGATTTCAATAAAATGACAATGAGTTTTGACCATCAAGGTGCAAATATTGTTATACAAGGACAGCAACCTTCACTACTGTTGCAGCAGATTTCAGGTGCTACTTTATTAAAAATGACAGCATCTAATGCTGCTATATTGGGGCATGTGATTCTGTTGAGTATGAATGAAACTCCTAAATAAATTCCTGCAGCTCTCAAACCTCTTTTAAAGAGGTATACCTCTGTTTTTGCTGAACTTACAGGGTTACCTCCTACAAGGACTCATGATCATGTTATTCCTCTCAAACCTGGTTCTAGTCCTATTAATCTCAGACCCTACAGATTTCCTCATAACCAGAAGACAGAAGTAGAACAGCAGATTGCTAAAATGTTAGACTCCTCTATTATTCAACCTAGCAAGAGTCCCTTTGCTTCACCATGCCTCTTAATTAAGAAAAAGGATGGGACTTGGAGGTTTTGTGTTGATTACAGACAATTAAACAATCTGACAGTAAAGGACAAGTTTCCTATTCCTGTGGTGGAAGATCTATTAGATGAGTTATATGGTGCAGTTTATTTTTCCAAAATTGACTTAAGGTCAGGCTATTGGCAAATCAGAATTAAAGAGGAGGATATCTACAAAACAGCATTTAGAACTCATCAAGGGCATTATGAATTCAAGGTAATGCCATTTGGTCTTACTAATGCCCCTGCTACATTTCAAGCATTAATGAATGATTTGTTTAAATCATTTATTAGAAAGTTTGTTTTGGTGTTTTTTGATGATATATTAGTCTACAGTAATTCCATGGCAGAACATATTACTCATTTGCAATTGGTTTTGGAGGTTTTGAAAGCAAATCAGTTATTTGCAAAACTGTCCAAGTGTTTTTTTGGACAGACCCAAGTGGAGTACTTGGGGCATATTATTTCAGCAGCAGGTGTGGCAACAGATCCTACTAAGATAGAAGCTATGAAGAATTGGCCTCTTCCTAAATCTTTAAAGTCTCTGCGTGGATTTTTGGGTTTGACTGGTTACTATAGGAGGTTTATTAAACATTATGGTTCCATAAGTAAGCCCTTGACTCAGATGCTTACTAAGGACAGTTTTCAATGGTCTTCTGCAGCTTTGACTGCTTTTGAAAACTTAAAACAGGCCATGTGTATTGCTCCTGTGTTAGCTTTACCTGATTTCACTAAGAGTTTCTATTTAGAAACTGATGCTAGTTCAGGGGGTATTGGTGCTGTGTTATCTCAGGAAGGCAGACCTATTGCTTATCTAAGTAAGGCTCTCAGTCCTAGACATGTTGATCTCTCCATTTATGAAAAGGAGTATCTTGCTATATTATTAGCAGTTTCTAAATGGAGGCATTATTTGGAGAGTAAGCCATTTATTATTAAAACTGATCATGAGCCTCTAAAGTATTTATTGGAGCAGAAATTGACCACCACAATTCAGAAGAAGGGGCTGACTAAATTATTGGGGCTTGATTACTCTATTCAATACAGAAAGGGTAAGTCAAATATTGTGGCAGATGCTTTGTCTAGGCAATGGGAAGATCATAGTCAACTGTGGGCTATGGGGACTACTCTGATCATTCCTAGTTGGGTGACAGAAGTTGAAGGCAGTTATAAGGATGACAAATTGGCTGCTGATTGGATCAATATATTAATTGTGAATGCTACTGCTGATCCTAATTGGAAATTTTCCAAAGGAATACTACGATTTAAAGGCAGAGTTTATATTGGTCCTACTGGGTCTTTGAGGCTTCAAATTCTGCAAACATTACATGATTCCCCTCATGGGGGCCATTCAGGAATTCAAGCTACTTACCAGAGGATAAGATCATATTTTTATTGGCCTGGACTTAAAACTATGGTAGCCACTTATGTCAGATGTTGTAAAGTTTGTCAACAAACTAAGGTAGAACATGTGCCTAAACCAGGTTTGCTACAGCCTTTACCTATTCCTCACCAGGCTTGGGAGGTGGTTACTATGGATTTTATTGATGGCTTACCTACTTCATTGAAGAAAAACTGTATATTGGTGGTGGTGGATAAGTTTACAAAATACAGTCATTTTATGGCATTGTCCCACCCTTACACTGTGGTTGAGGTAGCTAAGTTGTACTTAAATAATGTCTACAAGCTACATGGTCAGCCTAAACTAGCTATTTCAGATAGGGACAAGACATTCACTAGCCTCTTTTGGAGAGAACTAATGAAGCAGCTTGGCACTACTACACTATTCAGCACAGCTTACCATCCTGAGACTAATGGTCAAACAGAAAGGGTGAATCAATGCCTTGAACAGTATTTAAGAGGGCTATGTTTTTTTTCGACCAAAGCAATGGGCTAAATGGTTGCCACATGCTGAATGGTGGTACAATACTACTTATCATACAGCACTAAACCTAACACCCTTTCAAGCTCTATATGGCTATAAACCTCCTACAATGGTTTGGCAGACTGAAACAACGATACAATCTGTTAGGGAACTAATGAGGAGCAGGGAAGAGATCAGGCAAATTGTGAAACAACAACTAGAAAATGCTGCAAACAGAATGAAACAGCAGGCAGATAAAAAGCGTTCTGAACGAAATTTTGCAATAGGGGATTGGGTTTACCTCAAACTGCAGCCGTATCGTCAAACATCCCTTGCACTGAGGAGGAATCTGAAATTAGCAGCCACATTTTACGGGCCTTACAAAATCTTAGAGAAAATTGGAGAAGTGGCATATAAACTTGACTTACCAGAAGCGTCTCGATTACACCCTGTCTTCCATGTCAGTTTGTTGAAGAAGCATATTGGCTCTACAGTAACAGCCTTGACAGATCCTCCTGTGATAGATGAAGAGGGTCAGTTTCGCATAGAGCCAAGTAAAATCTTGGGAAGAAGAATCGTCAATCGTAATAATCGACCAGTTACTCAGTTGTTAGTGAGATGGACTAACCTCGACGAGTCGATCGATACTTGGGAGGATTACTCTGTTCTCCGCGGACAGTTTCCTTCTTTTGATCCTTGGGGACAAGGATCATCTCGAGGGGTGGGTATTGTCATGGTGGAAGGAGAAGGGAGAGAACGCGAGGAAGAATTGGGGGAAGAATTGGGGGAAG